GGCGGTGACTTCCAAGGCCGAGCGGCCTCCCAGCAACCGGTACCTCCTCCCTTTCGGAGGGAAACATCATTGCAGGCTCTGCTATCCTCCGGACAATGCCAACTTTTTGTCTTCTTCTGCTTGGCCTCCAGTACCCGACGCTTCTACCACTACTTCAGTGGTACCGGTGTCGGGCGGGAGGTTTCCACTACGGCTTAATGTGGCCACTGCTCTTTGACTGCTGTCTAAACTACCCCACCACTCCTCTCACCGGCCCGACATGCAGGACCCTGGTTCATAAGCCTGACTCACACATCTCAGAAAAGCGCACTTTGGCTCGGGATAAGACATGTGATAACACCCAGAAAATTAGAGGCGGCGTACAGTTGGCTATTCTTCCAGTTCAACTGTCATAGCATCTGGGACACACAACGAACAGGGATGGTCTCTCTCTCTCTCTCTCTCTCTCTCTCTCTCTCTCTCGACCAACAGCCAGATGACAGGTTCGTGTAGCCCTCTGTCTATACCCCTCTGTACCTCTGGTATATTTAGTATAAGCAAGTTCTAAGATCACATCCTTCGAATAAAATCCAGTTAAAAAAGGAAATCCAATTAAAGACATGCTGCCTATTAGCATCATAGCATAAGTAAAAGGTAACAAAGAAGCTAATCCTCCCATTTTGCGCATATCTTGTTCATCAGACATTGCATGAATCACAGAACCTGCACTCAAAAAAAGTAATGCAATAAGCATGTTCCTGTGCCATCATAGAAACATAATCTAATCGATCAAAATAAGGCAAAGCTTGTAGATAGGTTTTATATTCAATTAATTTTTCCGTACCTCTATGAAGTAAACCAATATGTGGTTCTGCACGTTCCACCACTTCTCCATTCATTTCCATATGAATGATGTGTGCAAGAAAGACAAAGAGTCAGACACATCATGAGCAGCAGATCGTAGTGCTCCTAGCTGCTCGCACATTCACAGTCACCGCTCTCTGTGTCTGCTCCTGCTCAGGCAGCCCGATTCCCGGTCGCCGCTGGATTCGAACTCGCGTCCGCAACTCTACAGTTTCGCGCGTGCATCAACTGGGCAACCTGCCAATGTACATAATGAGAAGGAGTCTCCCGCAAGAAAATAGGAAACTACCCCGCGCTAGACAGACATCTTGAGAAAGAAGTCACGGTGTGAACATGGACAAGGCAGCTGTCAAATGCAAATACTGCCGTACGTGAGAGAAAAGCTATTTCCATCGATGAACCATGTCGGAAGGAACCTTCTGCCAAACGCGGATGGATGCACATGCCAAGTTCCCATGCTGCTGCTCTCTCAGCAGGTGTGACCTTTCAAAAGCTGTATAGCCCACCGCTGCACCTCCGGTGAAATGGCGAAGACTACCAAAGTGACTGTACGCCGGACTACGCCTAGACAGGCAACCTTCAGACCAGCGGAAATCCTTGACAAAAGAGCAATGCTGCCAGCAACTAATACAACGGCGATGGATATCGCCACTACCGTGGTTACGACAATGGCATGCATTGTGACACTACTGTGGTTGCTTCAACGGCATGTGCAGTGACGGCCACTGTCGGAAGCTCGAACACTGCAATGAGCAAGGATGAGCCTGAATCTTCCCCTAAAACAGGGAAGGATACATTCAAACTTTTGACTCTTCTACACCCTCGCGTAGCACACTTCATCATCCAGCCAAACTAACTACTATCCTTCTGATCGAATCTTACCAACGGATTGCA